AGAGGTGCTGCTCAGCCACCAAAGCACACAGTGAGCGGTAGACTGTGTGATTGAAGCTGGCTGCTGGGCTTCCTCTGGTTCTGAGGGGGCTTCATGGCTGGAGCACTGGGAGGGGCTGAGGGCTGGATGCTGGTGAGCAGCGATGGGAACAGGGTCAGTGGAAGGGCAAGGAATAGGGAATGAGGACTCAGGTGATCAGGCAGGGGACCCTGCAGATGAGGCCAGGGCAGGAGAGAAGATGGTGTGAGGGGAAGAACTGAAACCACGAGGTAGGGGGATGGGATGAGGTGGTCTGGCAGTCCCCCCTGGGCCCTTCCCAGGAGCAGGCAGAGGCTCCGCTGTGCTCAGCACTGGGCTGGGGCTCAGCAGCCCAGATCACAAGGATGGCAGCCACACGGCAGGAGAGGCCCAGGAGCAGGGATGAGCCAGAGCTACTGCCTCAGGATTGGGCCTCAATGGGGTGAGGTTAGAGCCAGCAGAGCCCTCCTGGGACGGTAGAGGTCCCTGGGTCCCCAGCTGTGCCATTAATGTAGTGTCAGAGTTTGTGGCTGTCAGAGACAGAGAGGTGCCAGGTGGAAATTGCAATGGTCTTGGGTAGGGCTTGGCAGGAACCTGAGATAAGGTGGGGCTGACAGGGTACACATGCCCCTCTAGGTTCTCAGGTACTGTACTGTAAGGTGGGCATGGAGGGGTCTGTCTATGATCCTTGACCTAACCCCTCCCTCTTTTTGCCTCCCACTCACTTCTCCTTGATCATTTGTTCTCTCGCAGAGTGGACAAGGTTCTTGATCAAGTCAGTACATGGTGGGAAGCTTAGCATCTGCAGATCCCTTCTTTCCATGCCCCCAGCCTCCCAGCCTCCACTGGGTGACTAGAGCCTCTCAGGTCCTCTGTCCAGGCCCATCTTTTCTTGAGTGTTCTGCTGGGCTTAAGGAATCAGATCCCTTCTCCTCCATTTAGTCCTACCTGTCTGGCAGACTGGTTTCTGCCAACTTTGACACAGGTGCACCTCCAACCCTCCAGGTAACATGAATGTCCCGTCTGACACCCCTGCAGGCAACGTGAGTATTCTGCATGTCACTTGCTCTAGTAAAACACGGCTCTCTCATCTGCCATTCTGCCCGGTAGCATGGGTTCCCTACTTGCTGTCCTCCCCACTAACATGGATACCTGATGATCTTGCATACTCTTTTCACTTAACACGTTCTGGAGACTATGCAATATTTTGTACCTGGAAAACCTCCTTTTTAAAAAATGGCTGCCTGGGGCCAGCGCTATGGTGTAGCAGTTAAAGCTGCTGCCTACAGTGCCGGCATCCCATTTGGGGGCCAGTTTGAGTCTCGACAGCTCCACGTCCGATCCAGCTCTCTAATGTGGCCTGGGAAAGCAGTGCAAGATGGCCCAAGTCCTTGGGCCCTTGCACCCATGTGGGAGACCTGGAGGAAGCTCCTGGCTCCTGGCTTCGGATTGGCACAGCTCTGGCCATTGCAGACAATCAGGGAGTAAACCAGTGGATGGAAGACCTCTCTCTCTCTCTCTCTGCCTCTGCTACTCTCTCTGTGTAACTCTTTCAAGTAAAATAAATATCTCTTAAAAATAAAAATAAATATATAAAAAATGCTGCCTAACATTTCATTATGTGGCAGTTCCATAGGTTATCCAGCTGTGCCCATATTGATGAACTTTATGGGTTTCCAATCTATTACAAACAGTGTTGCAGTCAATACTATCACACAAATATGAACTCCCAGAAGAACTGCTAGGTCAAAAGACCACTGAGTTGGTTATTTGAAAGTTAAAACAAAATTCCACACATTGGAGTTGTGACATTATCCACTTCCACCAACAACATGGCTTGAGCCTGTTCTGCATGGGGGTTTTTCTTTTTTTCTTTTTCTTTTTTTTTAAGATTTTATTTATTTGAAAGGCAGAGGCAGGGAGAAGTCTTCCATCCACTGGTGTACTCCCAAAGTGGCTGCAATGGCCAGAGCTAGGCTGATATAAAGCCAGGAGCCTGGAACTTCTTACAGGTTTCTCATGTGGGTGCAGGGGTGGGGGCACAAGGACTTGGGTCATCTTCTGCTGCTTTCTCAGGCACATCAGCAGGAAGCTGGATCAGAAGTGGAGCAGCTCAGACTTGAACTGGTGCCCATATGTGATGCTGGCACCGCAGGCAGTGGCTTTACCCACTATGCCACAGTGCCGGCCCCTGAGTGGGGGTTTTCTAAACAAGGAGTCACTGTGCCCTTGAGCCAGCTCAGGAAGCCCTGACCAATGCATTAGTACAGTGTGAGAATGCCGGCCTTGAGAGGGCAGAGTCTTCATGATATTTGACCTAAAAGCTTTTTATTTTTCCAAAGGGGAGTTGGGTGTGGATGGAAGAGGACTCTTAGCAGCAGGAGCAGAGAGCACAATCACTATTCTCAATGTCTGCACAAGCCTAAAATAGGATACGGGACCGGTAACAGAGCTGACTGGCTGCTTCCAAACTCAGGGCCATGAGAGCCAGCCTCCAAGTGCCCTCACTGAGAAGAGTGGGGCTGGGTCCTCATCAATCTCAGCATCAGTTCTTTCCTCTGTGACTGGGTGTTGGGTGCTACTTCCCTGTAGACCTGAACAAAAACAGGATCACCTCCATGAACTTATTGCTGACATTTATTTCTACTCCCTCTCCATTCAGCAGGTATTTCAGGTTGTCAAGTCCATCAAGCTGTATAAAGGCTAGAAATGTGCCACCAACCAAACATGATCACACCTGCTCCAATGGCCTGTCTACCTGACATCATCCTAATCAGACTGAGAGCTGCACAGGGGCATGGATCCTTTAGGTGGTGTGTGATCAGTGCTTATCTAATACATAATTTGTATGAGAAGATAAAATACAAACCAAAAATATTCTCTGCACTGTACTGTTTGATGTGTATCACTGCTGATATTAAATGATTTCTATTTATTAAATATTTCCTTATGACCTGTTTTATATGGATATTTGAATACACATAAAATCATTTTACAACAAATAAAATTTACTTTTTTAAAACACTTATTTATTTGAAAGGCTGAGAATCAAAGAGAGGAAGGGAAAGAAGAGAGAGGAAGTTCACTCCACAAATAGCTGCAACAGCCAGCATTCAGCCAGGTTGAAGACAGGAGCCAGGAACTGCATCCAGATTTCCCATATGGGTGGTAGGGGTCCAAGTACTTGGACCATCACTTATTGCCTCCAATGTGCCTTAGCAAGACTTTGGATTGGAAGCAGAACAGCCAAGTCATTACACTCATGCTCTGATATGGGATGTCAGCATTGCATTCAGCAGCTTAACCCACTGTGACACACTGCTGGCCCTGAAATTTGTTGAAGAATAAATATTGTGCATATGAGTTTAAAAAATCCTACTAAGGTGCAGCTTTTTCATAGCCATTGGCTTTTCCTCACTGTGAAGATAAAAGAATCTCACTGTGAAGATGAAAGAATCTTTTAGGCCAGAGTTTCAAAGCAACACTCTTGACAGTATCTACTCAAACGTTTCCTCCTATGCTTCAGGATTCATTCCATTCCGAAAATGATCCTGACTTTAACAGAAGAGACTTGCTAGCTCTGTGAGTTCAGCCTCCTTTACAATTCGCTCTCTCCTAAAATCAAAACTTGAGCCTGATTTTCAGCATAGTCTGCCCTGTAGAACAAACAAATAAAAATCATTTTGATTGTTACTTGTTGGTCTTCAGCTTTCATACCAGTCCTGAGTCAATTGTTGCCTGACCTGAGTCCATAATATTTTATTCCTTCAGGATTTCTATGGCAGTAGCTAATTCCATAATCTCAAGTCTTTGAAAGACAGAACAGCAGCCTCTTTCAAGTATATTCTGTCTACTTGATGAGAGTCTTTGTAATATGGAGCTACAGCTTTCCAGAAATCATACACCCTGCAATCCCCACTAGCAAAGTGTGGTGACTATCACCTGCATGGCAAATGATTCTAAACAAGAAGTGGTACTCAGGATCAGCTTCCTAGAACCACCTCTGACTTAACTTAGGTTGGGTTCCCCATTTAAAAAGAAAAAACACTTATAGAAAGAGTTGAGTTAATTTATTTGAGAAATAAATATTTGAGAAATAAACCCAGGATGACCAGTAGAATGGTGGGGAAAGGAAGAAGGGAGGAAAGGTGGGAGGAACGAAGGAAGGATGGACGGAAGGAAGAAAGGAAGGCAGGCAGGCCAGTAAAGGCTGAATCAGATAATCACATGAGGAGATTATCGCTCTGGAAACCAGGGACTTAATCCCTCTGGGAATCTCTGAAAGACTGTAGAGAGTATGCCTCCAAATTGTACTTCCTGAGGGAAAAGGAAACTGGGCTATCCATCCTGCAATCCCTGCTAAGATTGGTTGAGAGCTGCTACTGAAGTCATTAACTCCCTGGCACTTCTGGCTTGCCTGCCTCATGGGCCAACTCCTCCAGCGTCCAGACAATGTCCTCAGGGTAAGGGTTTTAAATGCTTATAACAGGAAGCCATGTGACTGGTTCGTACGGAAACAATGAATGCCAAGAAAATATAAGTAGGACACTGAAAGACATCTGTGACAAAAAAGAAAGTTCTGATGCGTGTATTTATAAATATTGACAGAAAAGATTGTCATAAAAAAATAGGAGCTGCCGGCAGCACATCAGGACTACAGCCATGGTCCCAAGTAAAGTAGCACCAGGTATATTTCAATTTCATCTTTTTATGTTATTATCTGGGCACCTTTTTGATCAAAATATATATGAGGATATATTCATCAAATTACACACACACACATACACACACACACACATATCCTTCTTACTCTCTTGGTCTAAATGTCAATAGAATAGACTCAACCAAGTTTTAATAGTGTCTGATAGTCCCTTTAAGTGCATATTTCTCATTTCCTTCCTAAAACAAGGTTTTAGAAACAGATCTTGAGAATAAAAGCTACACAGCAAAAAATAAATCCAAATAATAAGGAACTTGAAGCATTTTCAGATATAGGGAAACAGCATCTTTTATTGTTTATTTTTCACTTGTGAAAATATATATAATATATATTACATGTACAGAAGAGTCCCGCAGCTTGAGGCTGAGAAAGCTAATCAAAAGGCACACATAAGGGGCAGGTCTATTCATAACAGTTTTCAGTTAAACTGACATTCAGGGCATGGCAAGTGACAATGAAGGCAATGAAAGAGCAGAAAGCCTGTGTACGTGACTGTGAAGAGCTATATCAGAGGCATCTCTTATGGAGGTCATTTGAGGAGAATATAACTCTTCTACGTAACAGGCATGTCAGACCATCAGAGATGGTATTGAAATCTGCACAAAGACACCAGGGACAACCCAACAGCCAATGATAAAATTGACAGCTTATTTGCTATTTTTTCCCCATCTCTTTTAGGCTTTAGACATACACTGATTTAAATAAGGTAATGACAGGGCTGACTCTGGTCCTGCAGAATTTTGGTTGGATACACAACAGAATTTTGCAACAGAATAAATACTTTTTTAAAAAGATTTATTTATTTATTTGAAAGGCAGAGATACAGAGAGAGCAGAAGAGAGAGAGAGAGGGGGGGGGGATATGAATCTGCTGGCTCACTCTCCAGATGTCTGCAACAGCTGGGGCTGGGCCTGGCTAAAGCCAGGAACCAGGAGCTTCTTCTGGGCTTCCCATGTGGGTGCAGGGACCCATGTTCTTGGGCTATCTTCCACTGCTTTTCCAGGTGTATGAGCAGGGAGCTGGATCCGATGTGGAGCAGCCAGGATTCCAACCAGTGCCCATATGGGATGCCAATACTGCAAGTGGAGGCTTAACCTTCTATGCCATAGCACCAGCCCCAAGATTAAATACCTTTTTAAAATTTTTTTTTATTTATTTGACAGGTAGAGTTATAGACAGTGAGAGAGAGAGAGAGAGAGACAGACAGACAGAAAAGTCTTCCTTCCATTGGTTCACCCCACAAATGACTGCTACGGCCGGTGCTGTGCCGAGCAAAAGCCAGGAGCCAGGTGCTTCCTCCTGGTCTCCCATGCGTGTGCAGGCGCCCAAGAACTTGGGCCATCCTCCACTGCCCTCCCGGGCCACAGCAGAGAGCTGGACTGGAAGAGGAGCAACTGGGACTAGAACCCGGTGCCCATATGGGATGCCGGCGCCACAGGCAGAAGATTAACCAAGTGAGCCACGGCACCAGTCCCAGAAGATTAAATATTTAAAAAGCTTGTAAACACCGTGCTGATGGTGGGAGAAACATAAAAACAGCACTTATTGTTTCTTTCTTATAGGAAAGATAGAGGCATAAATCTTTGGCTTGCCACATGTGTTTCCCTATCCTGACATTTACTGAAAATGATAAAAAAAAAAAGGCACAATTCATGGGATGATGGGATTATTTCTATCATCTGCCAGCAAAAAAAAAATAAAAAAAAAAAAAGCTACTAGGATTTGGCACAGCCGGAGCAGCTGACAACCTTGGGCGATGTGAGATGGGGCTTCACGACGTCCGGCTCGATGGACTCCATGAGGTCACACTCGTTTGCAAGGATGTGCTTCACCAGGCATCTGGAGGCTTCATCAATGTTTATATTTTCCTAGGACAAAAAATAGTTTTCTTTATTTCACATTACTTTTAAAATTTGTATGCATTTGAAAGGCAGAGAGCCAGAGCCAGGGACAGCCAGACATCTTTCAACTGCTGGATCACTTTCCAATTGCCCTCCACAGCCCAGGTAGGCCAAGCCAAAACCAGGCCCAGAACTCAATTCAGGTCCCCCAAAGTGTGGCAGGGGCCCAGTTGCTTGATCCATCAGCAGCTGTGTACTGGGACTTACACTGGCAGGAAACTGGAATCAGAAGCAGAGTCAGGAATCAAACCCACACACTCCAATATGGGATGTGGACATCCCAACTGGTAGCTCAACCACTGTGCCAAGCACTTGCCCTTCTTTATTCAATATTCTAAAACAACATTGGGGTATGTTTGATGATTCACTTAAATATCCCTTCCACTGCTTTATCCGTGCATCCCCTTCCAGTTCCCCTCATTCCTATGTATTCCTTGAAAATGTGAGTCCCTCACAGAAGTAAAAATATTTATTCATTGTGTCAAATAAGAGGAATAGGGTCTAGTGGGTTCACTTAGTGGGTTAAATTTAACTTAGAGGGAAATATTATTTTGACATTGTCTTATACAAAAGTGTAATATTTTAGAAGAAATATATCTTCAAAATAACTTAGATTGTAATTGTCCTCTGCCATATACTACTTTTTTGTCTTTGATAGAAAATAGGAATAAAAGGACACCTTTTGCAGTGGTTATTAGTGGTTTAACAAATATTCCTGGTTCTCTGCCCGCCAATCAAATGGTAGGAGTATGCTGTTCTGATTTCTTTTAAAACAGGCATGGACATGTGACAATTGCATGTCAATGAAATGTGAAGGAATGTGATGTGCTTCCCTTTTCTAGAGAAGAAATATAAGCCAATGCGCATTTCCCGATGTTCTTTTCTCTCTGTTGTTATCATCATGGAGGCCCACAGATAGGAATTCTCTTGACCTATGTCCAGAGTGAGGATCAAATAGAGGCAACTATCCCAGTCATCCCAGGTGGTATTTACAGCATGTGTAAGAACTATGACTTGGGCCAGCACCGTGGCTCACTTGGTTAATCCTCTGCCTGTGGCACCGGCATCCCATATGGGTACCGGGTTCTAGTCCCAGTTGCTCCTCTTCCAGTCCAGCTCTCTGCTGTGGCCTGGGAGGGAAGTGGAGGATGGCCCAGGTGCTTGGGCCCCTGCACCCACATGGGAGACCAGGAGGAAGCACCTGGCTCCTGGCTTTGGATCGGTGTAGCTCCAGCCATAGCGGTCATTTGGGGGGTGAACCAACAGAAAGAAAACCTTTCTCTCTCTCTCTCTCACTGTCTAACTCTATCTGTCAAATAAAAAAAAAAAGAACTATGACTTTATTGTTTTAAGCCAATGGTACTTGAGGTTGTTTAATACTGTGGTATTAATCTAGGAAATCCATGCTGGTGTAACTCCTCAAAGGAAAACATAAAATCAAGGATAGGGACCTAGTTTCAAAAATGAAATGTTTCAATTTTATTTTAAAAATGGAGCCATATTTTTGATCTAAAATATTTATCTTTTAACTATTGAATAAATTGATTTTTTTTCTTCTTGCCTAGCTCTTTGAGAAAGACACAACTCAATTCTTTGCCCTTAATTGCAGCTACCTGTTTATATGATGGAATAAAAAAAGTGTTTAATAGCACTCTACTCTGTTTAATAGCACATTCAGGAAGGGTAATTTGTGGCCTCACTTAGTCTTCCAGGTCTTGGACACATTTCTTTAAAGAAGATTTACATAGGAGTGGTTTTAAGGTACCTGCTCAGGCATTAACAAGCCAATCCTTTGATTCTCCTTTGGCTATGGCTTTTGTGTTAGGGAAGAAGGCAACAAAACTTACCCCAAATATCAAACATGAGATGTCAGAAAGGTTATTTTTTAGAAAGCTTAAGAAACTTCCCCACAATCATGTAGCAAGTTCAGTGTTGGTCAGAGCTTATACCCAGGTCTTTATTTATTTTTTATTTGACAGGTAGAGTTACAGGCCGAGCCGAAGCCAGGAGCCAGGTGCTTCCTCCTGGTCTCCCATGCGGGTGCAGGGCCCAAACACTTGGGCCATCCTCCACTTCCTTCCTGGGCTACAGCAGAGAGACGGACTGGAAGAGGAGAAACAGGGACTAGAACCCGGCGCCCATATGGGATGCCAGCGCCGCAGATGGAGGATTAACCGAGTGAGCCACGGCACCACCCCCACCAGGTCTTCATAAAATCTAAACCTGGCTTTCACAAAACTGCCTTCCTTTCCTAGATTGTTTTGAAGATCAAATGCAGTAATAGATAAATCTCTGTCCTTGGTGGTAGAGCTAGTAGGTGCTAAACAAATCTCAGTTCTTTATCATACATGAAAATACTTATCTGGCCGGCGCCGCGGCTCACTAGGCTAATCCTCCGCCTAGCGGCACTGGCACACCGGGTTCTTGTCCCGGTTGGGGTGCCGGATTCTGTCCCGGTTGCCCCTCTTCCAGGCCAGCTCTCTGCTGTGGCCAGGGAGTGCAGTGGAGGATGGCCCAGGTGCTTGGGCCCTGCACCCCATGGGAGACCAGGAAAAGCACCTGGCTCCTGGCTCCTGCCATCGGATCAGCGCGGTGCGCCGGCCACAGCGCGCCGGCCGCGGCGGCCATTGGAGGGTGAACAAACGGCAAAGGAAGACCTTTCTCTCTGTCTCTCTCTCTCACTGTCCACTCTGCCTGTCAAAAAAAAAAAAAAAAAAAAAAAAAAAAAAAAAAAAGAAAATACTTATCTGCTGGGAAAAATAAGTGAAACATTAAAAATAATGTACCTTCAAATATGATGTTGGATTAGCCAGTAGTATTTTTAAACCTTCTTAAAATCTATTAACATACTAGTTAAATAGAGTTTACTTTCATTAGTTTGCAAATTGGCAAAATGTACTAATGAGAAGAATTAGATGCTAGTATATACTAATCAATGAAAATTCATCATCATTATGAGGAAAACAACAAAAACCTAAGTCTAATTATTGGCAGTCTAGCCCATCATTTTAATGAAAGAAAAGACGATGCTGGTGAACCGATGAAGTCTCCATGTAAAGGTTAGGTGAGCTAGGACAAAAGAGAATGTGCTCTAGAAAAAGGAAAAGACATCTGTGGAGGGGACATGTCTGTGCATTGACTGCATATACTACATGAAGTAGTAGATCATCATCACCAAGCCACATTTAACCTTTCTGCTATTATTTAGATTCCCATTCAGTGCCAAGTCTGCAAAGATAAAGACATTAAAATAAGTCCCATTCCTGACTGAGCTTATCCACCAGCAAGGTTTCTGTGAACAGCAGAGGCACAGAATTGTTGAATAGGGCATCTAGGGGCAAATCACTATAGATCCCTGAAGACTAATTTGGCCAAGCAGAGTCACTAGGGATATTTTGCAGGTGAAGTGTCAATAAACAAACTACAATGCAATGCATTCCTCAACAGACCTTGCCCATGTTTAGCACTCTGTGTTAACTAGTAATCTACCAGTAAGTATTTATTGACTACCTATCATGTGCACCAAAGTGCTGGTTGCCACAGCACACCTATCTGAGATGAGAACATTTGAGAGGAAGCCAGGGAGAAGAGTAAACACTGTAATTAAACTCTATATCTACCATATATGTTCTCTAAAAGGCAAGAGGTATAGGATTTACAGCAAAGGCTTAAAGCCAGCTGGTTATCTCAGTTCCCCTGCTCTCCAGTTGTATGACCTTGGGAAAGACACTGAAACCACTCCCTGCCTCAGTTTCATCATCTGGAAAAGGAATATTTAAAAAACCTATCTCGAAGGAAGAAGGGTAGGAGGGAGGACGGGATTATCATCATGTTCTTAGATTAGTACCTACAAATTATACTGAATCTGTTAAAATTAATTACAATGAAGGTGAAAAAATAAAATTCCCAAGGTTTTTTAAAAAATATTTTTTTAAGATTGGCGCTGCGGCTCACTAGGCTAATCCTCCACCTGCGGCGCCGGCACACCGGGTTCTAGTCCCAGTTGGGACACCGGATTCTGTCCCAGTTGCTCCTCTTCCAGTCCAGCTCTCTGCTGTGGCCCAGGAAGGCAGTGGAGGATGGCCCAAGTGCCTGGGCCCTGCACCCGCATGGGAGACCAGGAGGAAGCACCTGGCTCCTGGCTTCGGATCATAGCGGCCATTTAGGGGGTGAACCAACGGAAGGAAGATCTTTCTGTCTGTCTGTCTCTCTCTCACTGTATAACTCTGCCTGTCAAAAAAAATTTTTAAATAAGAAATCTGTATCTCACAGGTGATTGTAAATTAATCCATGTTAATACTTGGGACCTGTGAAAAACTTAGTGAAGCTTATGGAACACATGTTCAGTAATTTTTACCTATGTTTTCTCTTCATAAATTACCTCATTTAATCATCAGAAGAATGTAGTGATATTGTACTCTATTTCTTCATTTTGCAACTGAGTAAACTGAAATCAAGAAAGGGTTGTTGACTGGCCTCAAGGGTAAGTGGTAGGCCCACGTGTGAGTTCAGGTAGAATAACTACTACATTGACCATGTACTTACTATAAAAAGGCAAGGCATATAGTGCTTAAAGCACAGGCTTGAAGCTAGACCCTTATGTCAACTCCCTCAACATATTTCCCCAAATAAATGAAGGAACAAAACGAGCGGAGCAGTTACTCCAGCCTAGGAAAGTCACGTCCTACAATCCGGTCTTTAGGAAGGGCTGGTTTGTGTTGCCAGCATATCTCCCAACATACTTAGTCTTTCTTTCTATACTTCACTGATCTCACAAAGCGCCTATACTAGGATGAACAAATAGCAATACAGAGAAAACTCTCCTCTCTGTCCCTGCCTGCTGCAACTGCAGATCCAGAACCTTTGCACAATTAAATTGCAATATAATTGATTGAGCTATTTGGCATAGAAGTAGACACAGTCAAGTCCGCATTTTCTGGGTAATTGTTCAGAAACCGCTTCTAGCT